ATCCCATCCCATCCCATCCCATCATCCCACACTCACCTCCTGCCCATCCTGCAGGAACCGCTGCAGCTCCCAGTTGTCCCGCAGCCGCCCCAGTAGCTCCTGGGCCATGTCCCGGTTCCTCCGGTGCCTGCGGCGAGGGCGGGGGGTGAGGGCTGGGCCAGGGACCCCAGCGCCGGGGCTGGGCCGCGGATTGGGGTCCCCTCACCTGCTCTCCACCGAATCTACCGTCTCCTGCACCTTGTCAGCATGGAGGCTGCCCTCGGCTACCAGCTTACGGCCGGGGGGGGCCCCCCCCCCGCGGCGCCGTCCCCCTCGGTCCCCCTGGGGGCGCAAAAAAAAAGGGCCGCCCCCCGCCTCCCGGCTTCCGGCGGGTGGCCCCCAGCCCCTGGACGCGTTCCCCGTTGGCTTCCATGGTGGCCATGAAATCCTCGTGCTTCTTGACGGAGGCCTCAGCTCCCGGCAGCGTGCTGGGCATCTCCGTGTGCGACAGGGCGTATTCCTGTGCAGAGTGATGGAGCAGGCGTCACCGCCGCCCCTCCGGCACCCAGGGGTTCCCCCCACCGCCGGCGCTGCCGGCTTCACCTCCCCAGCCGCTCACCTGGGTGCTGAGAACACCCTCGACCTGCTTGGAGTCACGGAGGAAGAGTTGGAAGGCGAAGGCTTGGGAGAGGAGGTGGTGGCGGTTCTCCCACATCCTCCCCAGCTCTTCCCAGCCCGTGTCCAGAGCCTCCAGGCGCTGGTGCAGAAAGACATGCTGCGCGTCCGTCTGTCCCTGCGTCACCTCCCGGCCCACGGCTCGCGTGCTGCGGTAGTCGTCGCCGTAGTGGGCGATTTCCTTACGGATGCTCTCGTGCTGACTCAGCAACCGTTCGGCCTCGACCAGGGTGGCCGGCACGTCCTCGGAGGCCACGGCCGTCTGGGTGCGGGATAGCCAGGCCTGGAAGGCGGCCAGGTCCCGCAGGAAGCCCTGCAGCTTGCTGGCCTCCCCCAACGACTCCTCGCGTCGCCGCAGGCTGCGGCACAGCTCGTCCCACACCGCCTCGATGGCCGACAGCCTGGCCAGGATGGCGGGCGCCTGTTCCGGGTGTTCGGCCGCCAACTTCTCCGCCTCGGCTCGTAAATCCCGCACCTTGCCCTGGATGGCTTCCAGGTCGCGCTCCATGCCCGAGAGCTTGCGCTGCAGGGCCATGACGCCGGCCAGGTCGTTGCCCAAGCCCTGCGTCGACTCGATCACCTTCGTCTTCTCCCGCATCCAGGACGTGGTCTCGTTGCACTCCAGGTGGTAGTTCTGGATGTTCAGGGCCGACGTCAGCGCCTCCTTCTTCTGGTCGGCCAGCGCGCGGAACCGCTCCCACCTGCGCCGCAGCGGGGTCGGGGGGGAAACGTGTCAGCCGGCACCGCGCACGGAGCCGCCCGCCCTGCCTGCAGCTGCCTGGCCGTCCTGCCTGGAGCATCCCTGCCTGGAGCACCCATCCCTGCCTGGAGAACCCCTGCCTGGCGGCCCCACCCCTCCCTGCAGCCTCCCTC